ACTTAGAAAATTAAAGTCTTACAAATCACTGAGATACAATTGATAAATATGTGAAATCTATCTAAAATTACTATCAACATTATAGCTAAACTATCTTTCAACAATCCTTTTTTGAATCACGACAATAATAACAGCAGTCTAGTCTACAAAGTCATATATAGCTTCTTTTCTTTTCTTTTGGAGAAATAGGCGCTAATCAAATATTAAGTGTTATACATGTACCTAAATAACTAGGAAGTTAGCACAGGTATAGTTCATGGAAATACAAATGGGTCAGATCATGACATTATAGGATAAGACACGAAACCTACCAAATAAAATTGATTAAATATGTGTCATTTTACAATGTAACTTGTATATAGGTAATATCTATAAACAACAAGTATTCAGGAAGAATTACACCTAATCAATTAAATGGATCATTTAGTATCTGGCAGTTCAATTTTTTTTTGAATGATCAATTTTCTTTTCTTTTCATTTTTTTTTCTCAATGGAATTAGTTTGCAGTATTTGGGCCTCGTTTTCAAATGTCTCTCTTAAAGGAAATTCATGTATCGTTGCCTCGACTTCACAGGAGACAACAAAACATGTGAAAAAGGTAAAAATGAGGTTGACCTTTGACCTTATATGTTATAAGTTGACCCAGATTATGAGAAGGGTCAATATTAACTGAACTTTTGACCGTACATGTCACATGGTGACCCACAATATGAGAAGGGTCTATATTAACTTAACCTTTGACCTTACATGTCACATGGTGACCCACAATATGAGAAGGGTCGATATTAACTTAACCTTTGACCTTACATGTCACATGGTGACCCACATTATGAGAAGGGTCAATATTAACTTAACCTTTGACTCGTTCACACAGATTAACTAATCTCGCATGCAATGAACAAACCTTTGGTAGGAACAAAACATAAACTGACTACAACTACAGTCTAACACAATATATGTTTGGATACTACTAACTAATATGAACACATCCTATCTACATTTCAGTACCATTGTGGCTTGTTAACATCAATATTGGAACGCTAATACACAAGTGTAGTGAACACCTACTGTAAGAATGATTAGTACATGCAGAACCTACACACAAAAATGAAAATGGTGAAAAATGAAACAACCAAAAAACATTTACATAATGGCATATAAACCCCTCAACTATCTTGAATGACATGTTTTTTCGTAATCATATACTCTGGACTATATACAGAGAAAATAAAACATAAGGTAGAACAAAAAAGAAAAAATGATATGTTATTATTGCATATTTCCGTTGAACACAAATATCAAATACAACAATGCAAAAAACAAATGAACTTATCTTCCACAAACAAAATCAACCAAAAACATATGAGTTGCACATTAACCAAACATATTGTCTAAAGAAAGATACATTTTCTCATAAAATTAAGAACATAACAAAAAAACTATAAAATTATTAACTTAAAACAATTTAGAAGAGATAACCATGAACACTATGCATACTGCGTAGTATAACAAAATATAACATTGCTAGGAAAAAGAACAGTCCTACATGTACTTGTATTTCACTTTTCATCGAACATTCGCAATCAACATAGCAACTACCTTTTTGCAGTTTACACACAAAATGTTTGGTAATATCAATATCTCACAAAATGGCAAATACATATATAATTATGGTTCTGATAGGACACTGTTTCTAGCACCAATTGGAGGGTAGGATAGTAAAGTTATTCATAAATAGTTGAAGGGTAGGAGGGAGATGGGATACAAAGAAGAGGGGTAAACACAATTTTAATTTTTGAAACTATTATTATGAAGCAAAAAAGGAGGTTGCTTTTCATTGGCATATATGTAAATCTGCAGGACCTTTTTTTTTTGGTAATCATCCTCCCCTCCCGTTTCAAAATACAGCATATTCAATTTTTGCAGATTTTTATCTTCACTTAATTAAATTTTCAACAGATTACTTAGTTTAGACTGATATAATCTAAGTACGAGGAAAGGGATATTGGAAAATAAAAGGGGGCTGGATGGCAAATAAATATGTCATTCCAAATTAAAGGGGAGGGGGATAACTACACTAATCCACATTGAATTTCCATACCAGTCAGCCCCCCCCCCCCTTTCTGGGTAAATGCAGACATGAAATCTACTATACCACAGAAGGTAACTTTTTTAACATATTTCCTTTACATTTAAGCATCAACAATTTTCAATATGTCAAGTTGTGAACTCAGAATCTCTCTCAGCCCCTTCAGATAATGAAATGGTCAAATGCTTCTATGATAACACTAGTCAAATCATGTATATAATCAATCAACATTGGAAAACAGTCATCAACTGAAAGAAAAAAAAGAGCTTAACATTTAACAAACTCTTGTCAGTAACTCAATAAAAGCTTATACATGTTACATTTCTCTTCGCGAGAGGTAAACAGAGAACATAAATAGCAAAATCTATCAATACACATGGATAAACCTCTTTTATAATTATACTAGACTTATAGACATTAAAATCATTAATATCATAGTTTTTCTCTTTTTTTTGTATTCCATTTTTTTTTCCAGCGATACCAACAGTATCACACTTCGTCATGCACGTTCACCTCATCAGATCTTTTGAATTTTGATACACGTTTTAGTTTCATTTTTTTTCCTTGTTTCCTTTACTTTGGCAAGAAGTTGATTCTTAACACGAAAAATCACTCACATGTTACAAATTGCAGTGAATTGTTAACATATCTACTATTTGGACTCAGGAATAAAAACAAATAATAATTCCTTCGAGTCCCTATGAAGCTGTCGTGGCTTTTACGATTAATATACAACATTTGTAACATTAAATACTTGTGATATGGCCATCAAAGCATAACATATGACCTATCATTTGCAAACTGCAAAGAATTGACACAAATCTCACCTTCCTATTAAATACATAAAACATTAATTTTCATTGTTTTCTTTTTTATAATTGATACCCACATCAGAACGAATCATCTGTGTGGAGCCAGAGGTGTATTAACTCTTTGTTACAAGTTAATGCCCTTATCACTCCAGACAAAATCTATTTCTCATCTTTCAATCTCATACACGGAATGTACATGTAGTCTACTTCTTTTACAGAGCATAAAATAGTAACTAAAATGTTTCATCACTCGTCACCACTATCAAATATTTTTTATATTGAATCGCACCTTTCCTAACATTCACAACTTTACTTACTAGGTTTCTCTTCATGAACCATTCTTGGGATCACACGGCAAGCCATAGGTCGTGACCTTCGTTCCACCATTTCTTTTGCATACTTATCAAATTGGCTACGTATGTTTCATGGGTCTGTACTCATTTCTCGCCCCTTCCATTAACATTTTTATTGGTATCAAATTTTGTTACATCACTCGATCTCAAATTGCTACAGGTATTCTTTTGTAGGGCAATAGATTTCCCATTCTCTGACAGATCTTCATCCACAATCGACGCTCCTTAACATCCTACCCCCTCCCCCTCCCCCCTCTCATTCTGCAATTGGCTACATGTATTTTAAGTTGTTTAGCAATCTTTCTCTCTCTCTCCCCTTCCAACAAAAATCACATCTATTCTTTGTACCATCCTTCAGAATGTTGCCTAATTATGAAATGTCAAACGGGCAGAATTGCTAACCTTGCATGGAAATTACATTTCTATCCGTGTCGCAACTATTTCATGTGTTCTTTAAACATTATCATATTTCAAAGACCTTCTCAAGAAATTCCATGACCTGTTTTTGTTATCAATTCCCAATTCCAAAAATACAAATAACATATCTCTTTTTTTAACCTCACATATTCCTACAATTGGTGTTAAACTATCAAGTATTTAGAACTAAATAACAATTTTTTTACAATGTACCATTTCTGAATCTATGTCACTTGCCTTGACAAGCGAGGGCAGTACATCAAATTATGTCAAATCAGAAAGACTGAAATATTTTCTACCGTTACATTCAAAGAGAAATTGCTCTTTTTTTCTGGTATAAAACGCTTTTTTTCTATAAAATTCCAATAATATACAAGAGTGTGAAATTATTGAATCTCACTATTCGTTTCATGTTTTCTTAAAATAAGAAAACAAAAATTATTTGAGCATCTACAGACAACATATTTTTCCGGGTTATCAACTCCAAAACTTAACATTTTTATGAGTACCGTATGTTGAACTCTTCTATAAGTTAAAACTACTACTTACTAGTACATGTAGCTGATACCTTTGTTCACAGAAATTGCATCAGAAAACTGCCAAATTATTTGGGTTACATGTCCCATAAACATTTCAAAGTGGAAAAAGGTCTACCAAAGCCTTCCATTGCAGGTTCTATACGTCAACTAAAAAAGGGAATCAATTCAAGATATGAGGAAGTATTCTTTAATTGATTTTCTCTGTGAGTGGTTAAGAATAATACTCCAGTGATCTGTAAAGTTTACTTGTGGAAAACAATTGTGTGGCTCTCAACGGATAATACGTACGTACCTCATCTTTGGTAAACACTATGAATCAATGGCATGTGAACGTACATGCAGCACAACTCCATATAAATGACATTCACATGAAAGAGAATCATGTGTACTTCTTTTATTTTTCCATCTTTGGTTAATATTTGACATATTCTGCACATTTTTTTCCCTTCATGAGTGCAAGAACAACATCCCTATCTACATTAATCCAATTTCTTGCAGAATATGAAAAGTTTCAATAAAGATATACAGGAACTTAATTATCCTTATAAAATTTATTATATTATAATTTTTTTCCAGATTCCACTAATTCCTTTTCCAATAAAGGAGGAAATATATGAGAAAAGATTTTCCCACTTCTCAATATTGTGCTACAATCATGCCTACAATTTGCAGCGAATTGCATTTAACCCGTTGACTACTGGATTATTTAATTCCCATAGGCTTTACACATGGACCACCAGGTTCCAGTAAGCAATGGGTTAACTTTTCTCCTCACAATTTATTCTTGCCGAAAAAACAAAATACTACCTATACTTCTGTCCATCTTCCAAAATTGCAGTGTTTAATACAGATCATCTCCGTAATCTCAAACTTTTGACACAATTTTGTATTCTAAAATTACAAAATCCTAAGGTTTGAAGGAAAACAAGTACCATAATGACCTTTTAACACCTAACATTTCTCTTATTGTATGAAGTCTTCCTCATCCCATATTGATTTTTAAAAAGACCATGACCATCGTTGTCCCTTGACATATATATATATATATATATATATATATATATATATGCATTAAAGTTTTTCATTTTCATAGTTGCTATAAAAGTGCAATAAATGACCAAGTGCAAAGCTATACGCACACCATAATCATTTCTTTCTTATTCACATTACTTTTACTGTACAGATAAAATACACACTGTATCTGATACAGTAATATTTTTTTAACAGCTTTCAACATTTCTTAGAAAAATATCTTTGTGTCACGACTATCCCCCATAGGTATGAGAAGAAAAAATGGGTTTATCATTGTTTTTCTCTCCCTTTTGTTCCTTCTTCAGCACTATTTTTTGAAGAATGTGCTGATGAGAGAAACAACGGAAAGATTGTATCTTTCCACAAGTTTCCCTTTCCTTCATTAACAATATTTAATAGGTAACAAAATAGTCTCTGGATTCTTCTCTAAATATGAGATTTTCAAAACAAATTGTCAAGGCTGTCTCATTTTGAAGTTACATAATTCTATATTAATCTTTGATGTGATTTTGTATGTTGCTGTTCACCTGAAGATTCGTTGTCCCCATAAGAAGAAAGAAAAACCAAGTTACATCTTTCGCTGACCGCTGCAAGATAAAACTAGATAAACGTACATCCATATAATCGCTGTGAACTCTCAAGCGTAGAGATTTCATATGTTTGTTTTCTTGAAATGTATATTTTGAACGTTTATAATCATAAAGATTTTTTTTTCTCGATACCTATACAGATAAAGTAATTGACATCATATAAATAAAACATATTACAATATATATATATAAATAGGCTATTATTTCTGTACTACCAGTCACGGTAGCGTAGTCTTCGTCATCTGTTTTTGGAGGAGATATTGATAGGTAACGAACGCATATGCTCTCCTCCATCCCCCTCTCCGAGTGATCTACCGGCATCGTGTCCACCGGTGGTGCCCTGGTATCCAGGCAACCGCATCAGGTCCGGGATGACGGGGAATGCCGCCCGCTGATGCTGGTCCTGTAATGGAAGAGACGATTACAGAGGATGGATGAAATAGAGAGATAGGAGGGATCATGAACTTGTCAAGGAAGATATGCATAGTCATAAGCCTTAAAGGGACTTGGTAACATTGTTCAGATGAGAGATAGTGGTGCTAAGGTAGTGACTTCAATGCTAGATGTACAATTAAAGATAATCTGAAAATTTGAGTGAAAACGGACCATTATTTTTTTCATGGTACAAATTGGGAAAAACTGATCTGATCGATTCCTTAATTCTCCCAACTGTATCATTACAATTTAATTACATTTGAGACGAATGGAAATCTCACAAAGCAATAACATGGCTCTACATTCCATTCCAGACATTTAAGTGGTGACAGATTTTTTATACCCTGTTTTATGTCTTTTTTTCATGGAAAAACGGTTGGGAAAATTCAAAAATGGTTGGGAGAATTTACTGTTAATCACTGTTAGAGGGTGTCCTACATCGACGCCTTCAAAGAAAATCATAGATATCTTTGTGGTTTGAGAATTTTTTCAGGATTTTTTGCATGTCAGAGGGATAGGACAGTAGAAGGAATATAGTAAGTAACATTTTATAAAAAAATTAACCAATTTTTTTCATCAACCTTCAACAATGTTACCAAGTCACTTTAATCATACTGCTGAACTGACTCTACACCAACTCAAATCAATCACTGTTTTGTAATTATTTGATCAGTTTGTTGTTGGTCTGGTGTAGGTCTTGTTGAACTGAGGGTAGGTATTAGTGGTAGTTACTTTACCCGACTGCTAAGAAAGCATAAATGCTTGTTAGTAAGCAACCAGAGGACTGACAGCTTTAGGTCCTCTCTGAGGGACCTGGTAATGAGGATTAATGCCTTACTAAAGGGCACTAGCGCATTGCTTTAGTTTTGAACCCGGGTCGCTAGATTACAAGACCATTGTTCTACCAACCGAGCTATCGCGCCTCCTCTGTAGAGGTTAATTATAGGTATTAAATGATCATGATATGTTTGTTTCTAAAAGAATATTTTGTGAGGGTATGCATCCAACTTAATATAAGCACTCTTCCACAAATACCTATAAAACCACAAGAGCTTGTATTCAGATAAAATAAAACTACCAGAAAGTTTAAAGGTTAGAACATTTGGAATTTAACATTTTCTCATTTGTTCTGAAATGAAAATTTATCTCTACTTGGCACCTCCCAATGCTCCTTTCCTCACAGTAAAGTCTGTAGGAATCATTGTACAAGAGCCATGCCATCTTTACACAGAGTTTGGCCAACTTGGTTTTACTGGGTCACAACATGGCATATATTCTTTTGTTTTGTGCTTGCAGTAGTCGCCATATTATGTCCAACTCAAACCGGGTTGGCCAAACTCTGTGTATAAGATGGCTTTGGATTGTACATGTAATGTTCTGCCCTTGTGTCAAACAACGCTGTAGGTTACAGTGGAAGTGGCTTCTTACCCATGATGTTTCTTCCGTCTCATCCGTACTCCCACTCCTGGAGCAAGCTCTGCTACTGTTCTCAGACGACATGTTGCTGTGAATACAGAGAAGCAAAGATGAGCTTGGAATATTACTATCGTTGGTTGCATGACATTCTTGAAAGGATAAGTTAGAGGATAAGGTAGATGTGTTGTGGTCTAGTGGATAAGTTGTCGGACTGTGGATCACAGAGTCAGCGGTATACGTGTGATGTGAATACCAAAGAACTTGAAGGGTTGTGTTTAGGAAATAGGGTCACACTGCATGTGCCTTTTCAAGGTACACACTGATTAGTTTCAAACTTGGAATTTGAGCAATTCTGGTGATGCAACATATGCTCTTCCATCTGCTCTGGGCTTTATCCGTCCACGACATCTAGGGTTAGGTGTGGCACGTGGGATTGAAGGTGAAGTTTCAACTTGGACAGTGCCAGAATTTACAGCAAAGAATTGTCAGAGGAGGAAGGTGTGTCACAGAATTCCTACTATTAAAGATGAAAGTGGAGGGATACCTCCAGCAAGTCAAACAAACTGAGGACAGACTGCTAATATGTGAAACCTGTGTCCACATTAGAGAAAGCATCCACACAATGTTTAAGTTTAGTAATAAATAATGTTCACAAACTAAAGGAACTGTCAGAACTGGGAATAAAACCCCCTAAAATATAAAAATGTGTTTATGTATCTATTCACTTCCCAAAAAATGGACATGGTGACAAGTGCTGAATTTTGTATTTACTTATATTTTATTTTTAATTATTCTTATTCTTATTAAAATTATAAATTTTATTATTATTATTATTATCATCATTTTTTAATATTTTTTTAATTATTATTATTATTATTATTGGGGGGGGGGGGGGGGGGGGTCTCACACTGTAGTGCATTTAATTGTCCATACCTGGTGTATCCGTGCATGAACTTGCAGAAGGTGCCCCTCTCGCATCTCCCTTCTAGCCACTGGCCGCAGGTCACGTGACTGGTGTCGTGGGAGTACCCGCACATGCTGTTGGTGCAGCAGCCTTCCAAGAACTCCTTGCAGACACTGTTGGCCCCACCTAGTCAAGAAAACAACAAGAATATAGTCATAATTTAACAATTTTACATAAGATGTAAAGTTAGAATTTGATATTCTTGAGCTAAAGATAAACTTGAGTTCTGGTAAAAAAAAGAAGATGAATTCTCAGAGAATCAAATGAAACTTACACTGAATGTTCAAGATTACAAATAAATGTCATTTGCCAAACAATTTTGATAGAAAATTTATTTTGGCTGAGTAATGAGCATAGAAAGATAAGGAAATCAAGGTTAGTAGACCCGACACCATTTGTGTAGTCCCATACACATCTTTCTGTGCATGTACGTGCTTGTTACTTTACCAAGACTAGGCCAAATTGATTATGATTTTGATGACTCCAGAACCTTGCAGTACACACCAATACTTACATGCTACTTTTTCTGATCCATTCCACACCTTTTCTTTCACAATGCAATTGCATGACCAGAACTGGTCTTAAACTTTAACAGGATAAGTTCTTTAAAAAAATAGTGTTTGAAAACACCTACATTAGCATTTTCTTGCCTATGTGATGAGCTTCACTTATTAAAAAGAATGGACAATGCACATGAACTCATTCAGGATTTGTTTTCCTAAAGGGATGAATCAGAATGGATATGTGTTTCCTCCTCAAACTGTAAAACAACAGCAGTTTCTTTTCACTGCTACGTGTATATATTTAAACATATTTGTGGCTTAGTTACACACAGTAAATAAGATCGATTGATCGATCTGTATTGAAAAACAAGTCAGAAAAAATGTTTAAAGAATTGAAATTTCTCCCAGGAAGCATTACATTTATACATGTATATTGTTCTCTCAAAACAAAGTGTTCTACATGAACTATAATTGGGTATCAAACATTATAACCCCCACCCCCTGAAAAGGCATGCATTTTGATGTACTGAACTATTGGAATAATGATTTGCATTTGTGTTGCTATCGACTCATTTTTCCTACTGTAGATCCAATATTCAAAAATTGAGGGATGATTTTAAAAGAAACCTTTTATAGGTAATGCACATTTAGTAATTTGGAGCATTCTATATATATATGTATCAAACTAAATCATGAAAACACAGGTTGAATGAAGTTAAGCCTCTTTGAAATAAAGGCAGTAATCTTGATGTATATTTTGTCAAGCATATAGTTTATCCTCTTCCACTGCCCCTGCCCCTTTGTCTCTCCTTTGAGTAAGTTTGCATTGTGTCGTATAAAATATGGATACTTGGAAGTCTCCAGTCTAGACTCAAGGATACCGTACTGTCTTTGAGATAGGGTTGAATAAATGAGGGAGTGGGAATCATTGTGCCATGCACAATGATTGTGCAGAGCATGGTTTTCAATATAATGCTATATTAGTACATGTTGAAGGCACTATGAAAACATGTTAATGAATATTCAAGTGTGTGTTCAAAACATGAAAATCAATCATTTGCGTTCAAACATACATTGTACCATTAACCTTCTTCCTCATTAGCACCTAAGATGCTATCCATGAGAAGAAGCCATATAAAAATTTAATCTCCTTTTTGATAACAAGGAAATGAGGCTCACATTCTTTCCACCTCAAGATCTAGTGTACCAATCACCTGAATAAATCTTTGGTGTACAGACAGAATGTACAAAACCAACCTCAAACTTTACCAACATTCGATAGACTAGTGGTGAAGAGATATAAAAGAGAGTACAGAAAATCATAAAAACCCTGCGCGGGCACATCTTTATGCGAGCGCATACGGGAACATTAGCTATCTACTCACAAATCCCTCTTCTTTTATACAATAGGTATTTAAACTTGCAACATCTCTTCATAAAAGTAATATTTGGAGCTCATTTCTTGAATATAAAAGTGATGTGGAACCCTTAACATACACTTTAATGTTACAATGATATTCCCTGTGCCAACAAAAAAGAGATAAGAGATAGATCCTTGAACAAATCGTCTATAGCTGCATTACAATGTCGTACAAGGAAGTATCACCTTAGAATGGCCCTCAACATTGGTATGTGAGCCATGAAAGAATGAGAACTCATTTCTGATCTAGGATCATGGTGCCCCTCCCATTCTTGGAACCCGTACAGCACATTGTACCTACATGAACATGTACAGGCAAGTGTATGTCAAATGCCGAGAGTGAGAGTGAGAAGGGCATTAACTCATACCCGTTCACTTTGTCATGATCATTCTATATTTTGTGGTTTGGCTTGATTATTTTTTTATTCAGAGCTCTTAATTTTTTTTCAGATGCATACCGGTAAGAAGAAAGGGCAACAAAATCTATGCACACACAGACACTGCATAAATGTTGGTTTCATGACTATATTGTGACAATGCCAGGAATTTAAAAAAATGAAATTAGGTTTTAAAATCCTTAAATTGGCAACACATCGAGAAATTCACGATAATTGATTTCAATCAAAATTTTGCAATTATTTTTAAAGTTATCATCAATATTAAAGCAATTGAAATACTCGGGAGATTAGAAATGGGTATCCACCCCCCCCCCCCTCCATTACCTAGAAATGGTAAAATGATCAAGATTTATTATTTTTCAAAGACAGAACTTGGGTGTATACTTCTATGATTATATCTTCTATGGAGCCAGAGACCCAATAGACTCTTGACTAGTCAATGCAACATTAGACTTTAGAGACTGTTGCTTCATATATAGTGTTTTAATTATACACAATCCTTATTGAGAGATGGAGATAGTTGTGACGACAAGCGCATACACACATACTGTATCACGAGCACAGTCATGGGTTACATCATGGAGCTACTATAGAGATTGCACAGGGTAGGGAACTATTCGGAACTCTACGAAATGATCAAAGGCGACTTCCGGTGACGCAACTATGTCTCTCTCTCAACGAGCTATGATTATACGTCAAGACCAGAGGGCCTCTTGGCTATCCAATGTCAGTCAGTATACATGTAGTTACATGTACCTCAATAGACCTTCTGATTTACAAGCCCTCTTTATGGAATGCCAACAATGAAAGATGCCAAGTGCAATCAGTGATAAAGATTGCCCTCTGGCTCCATGATATAAGCATGTCATGATCATCATCCTTGCATATGAAGGTACAAGCTTTTTTCTTCGTTAGGGCAGGGGGAGTAAAACAAATTGTGTATCAATGATTTTATAAAACTTGAAATAATATATTTAAAAGATTCAATGAAAATATTGTAAATTAGTAAACACCAAAGAAATGATGATTATTAAATTGGCCTTTTTAATCGTCATTTCTTTGATGTTTATGTACATGTAATAAATGGGGGGGGGGGGGGGGGGGGTCACACTTACTAAGAACACTTTTTGAAGATGATTGTTGGAGTATGTTGTCTTGGTTACCTTGAATTCCCAAACACTTTTTATGAATATTTCATCATAGCTCCAAAATATTTTCAATTGAAATGACTTAATCCATAAAATCATCTTTCCTTATAAATGCTTTACAAGATATGATTCCAGGTTAAGAAAGTGTTAATGAATCCTTGAGAGTTAACTATCTCCAGATGAGAGTACTTACTTCTTCTCTTGAATCTGCCTTGAGATCTTTGGGGAGGATGTGATTCCAACGGCTGGTCTACCAGGAGTCCCTCATGAAGAAAGGTATCGTCTTCATCTTGGTACAGCTGAAGAAATCGGGCAAAGAAAGGGATTACTTAAAGTATAAAATCTTAAAGGCTGGCAAAGCAATGAACATAACTGCTGCTTTATAATGGATGAGAATTTTACTACATCCCAGGAAAATATTTGAATCATTACTTTCATTGGACCATAAAATAGAGACAAATGAAGTTTTACAGGGGAAAAGCATAGCAAACGTCGCTGAACTTGGATGTATGCATTCATGCCATATTTAGGATGGGCTGTTATGGAGAGCAGTGTGATGCAACATACATTTTAAAATATTTTCTTGAATAAAATTAAAGATGGGTACTGCAAAGAAGATACTTTTGTGTGCATGAAACAATGGCAAATTTTACCCGATTTGTAAAAAACCTTCATGCCACAAAATGCAAAAATCAAAAGTTTACATAGAAATGAATGAAACAAAAAGCCAAGAGAACAATTCGCAAAGACTAAGGTTTCTGGTGTTACAGTTTATGAAAGTAACACCTAACCCCTCTTATCCAGTTAGTACATTTCACATAAGATATTGAGTATAAATAGCCTTAGGAAGGGTCTTTAGCTATAAAATAACAAAAAGGGCCGGATCATTTGTTAGTAGTACGTATCCTGCAACCTATCATTGTGTTGTAATCATCAATTTGGTACTACAGTCAAACCTGCCTATAGCGAATGCCCAAGTGAAACACAAAATGTAGACAGGTGGTCACTAAAGCAGGTTTGACTGTACTTGTCAAGTTGGTCCTATCAGATCAGAGATCTGCATCCTTTCATTATGATATGTGATGAAAATTAATAGCATGTAGCTTACCAATGGTGCATCGTGGTCAAGTTGCATTCCAAGCGGTCTGCCTCCATAGAATCCCCAGTTGTCTGCTATGAACCCTCCTCCTCCTCCTCCTCCTCCCCCATGGCCACCCCCTGGGTCTCGGATATCAGCTCCAGCTCCTCCAGGATAGGTACACCTCCAAAGGCCTCCAGGATCTCCAGGTTGGGCAGGGTACCCTGAAGCAAGGCCAGTCTTTGAGACTGATCCTGAAAATCCACCAGAATAGAGTCCACCTGGATGTATCTGCGATGCCTGGCTGGTGCTTCTGGCAGTGCTGTCCTCTGGTGGCTTGGAGGGTTGGGAAACTTGGTTCCCACCGGAGAGGTAACCCTGAGGAGCAGATCCTTGAATTGGCTTCCACAAGTTACTTACATTACCTCCAGAAAGATGGGAAGAAGTGCCATAGTTCTGACCACCTGGTTGTGACGTGCTTCGGGTGTATTTCCTAGGTTCGAAAGGCTTAAACTCCACATTCTCGTCGGAAGAAACTCCGGGCGGTTCTGTCTTGGATTCATGCTGAATTGGCTTGAAGTGAGAATCTTCTGAAATGAAAGGTCGTTCTGATAAGTTTGTCAACTCAGCACTGCCCTTTGATGAAACAGAAGGTAATTTGTCGGGACTGACAGAAGAGATTCCCTGATGCTTCTTCCATTCTGCAGACAGAAGGTGCTGACTGACAACAGTGCCTTTGCCTGATCCTAGAGAGCTTCCACAGAAGCCTTGCTGGCTGTTGGCAGAAGAACCCTGCTGACTGTTCACGCTTCCTTCATGGATCACTCCAGGGGACTTGTCCTTTGGAGTACGGTCATTGTCGCTTTGATCCCCTGTATCATCTTTATCTCCCCTCTTGCTTACATCAGGCACATCTCTTGGAACTTCCTCTACCCATTCATCTTCCGAAATCATCTCATCAGTTTCAGTTCCAGCAGAGTTGTCGCTGTTCTCAGCATCACTTCTCGCAAAGTCAAATCGGGATGAGCTTCGGGAGCAGAGATACTTTGGGCTGTCCACAAGACTGTCTTCAATGACACTCTGCTCATCCTGGACAGAGCAGCATGATGCCCCGCATGGCTGAGGACTCAACAGACATTCAAGGGAGCACACAGATGATGTTGTGTCCCTGTTGTGAGAGCCCTCCCAGAGTTCTCTTATACTGCTGTCATTACAAGGACTGGTGGAGCAGCTGTTGAACTGACTGTTGTTATGACTGCTGTATGGGCTGCCATAGACACCACCTTCAATGAACGTAGACATTTTAGCCATGGGTTGAAATCCTGAGAATATGCTTTCGTCCCACGTCACGATTTTTGGAGGGAGAACTTGCAGCTGTTTAGATTCGTACGTCGCCCAGAGAGCATTATTCATATCCAGGGAGTGAGCTTCACCCGAGAGGTTCATAATTGAACCATCTTTGTGAGATGAGCAAATGCTTTGTACTATGCTGTCATCATCTGCACTGAAGGACTGGTCACTTGGTAGGCCTGGTAAGCTAGGTGTTGACTGCAGAGGTCCTTGGGAGCCGTCGGTGGAAATTCCCCATCCTGAGGGAGTGCCTGGTCCTTGTGGATCATACGGATTGGAGTGTGCATGGGTGTGGTCACAAATACGCAGGAGACTGTCATTATTGCGTCCAGTGCCGATGGGAGCATTGCGCGGCGAGATGGGAGCACTGTCCATATGATGGTGGTTGATGTCAACTCTCAGTTCTCCTGTAAGCGATGTTGCATCAGAAGGTTCCTCAAGTGCAGAATCACCCTGCAGGCTACTTGGACTGGTTGGATCACTTCCAGCTTGGTTGACTTCAACTGCACCACTTGATACTGATGTACTTGGGGGGCTGCTAGCAGTAGGCAGGCAAGATCTTGCATTGTTTTCCCAGGGCTCCTGCTGGTCTTCACACAATGGACTCCCTGGCACAAGATTCTTCTCCCAGATGGATGATGAAAGTTTGCGTTGACCATCGACATCTACGGGAGCCATGCTGACCTCACGTTCGAAGTCACCCGTTCTTGTGGAACCTGCGTACCAATCCTTCAAGCTGTCCCCACTTCCAAACATATATATGTCCTGTTCATCAGTCAGTAGTCCATGGATAGTTAAGCTTTTGGAAAAAGGCTTGTCATCGTCACACTCCTCCATGATGCTGCGACACAGGGTCTCAGCCATCGTGTTGACTGCCTCTTCCAGACGCTCTTCTTCCTTGACAGCACTGTCACCGATCGCCTCAAGGAACACGTCCTGGCTAGCCTCTTCTCTTGCTCCAAAGTCCCTTGCATCCAGGAACAGATTCAAGTCAGCTTGACCTTCTCCGCTTTCACTGTACCACTCGGGAAACATGCCACCTTTCTTCCTGCCGGCCACATTCTTGTACTTGCCATCTACTCTTTCACCCCGACTGCCCCAATCCCAGTCTCGTTGGTAGCGCTTTGTGCCTTTGTCTTGGCTGTGGCCGTAGTTGCGATGGTGTCCCTTGCGTCCCTGGTACTTCGGAACAACGAACGTGGGACTCCTGTTCTGGTTGCGTGAGAGGCTGCTAGGAAGGCTTTGAGCTCGCTGGTACTGCTTGCTCTTGAAATCCACTGGAGAGTGACTGTTGCGAGAGACCGAGGCAGATACACTCTTATTCGGCAGCGACTCCAGTTCACGATCACTGGAAGGATTGGAGATAGAGCCTGTTGAGTTGTTGCGTTTGGCTTTAGATTTCCATGCACCTTTTGGTTTGGTGTCTGCTGCAACAGCTCCAGACTTGTCGCTCAAAGCTGGAAAGGCATCATAATACCTGCACATGGAGCAGAGACATGAAAAAAGAATAAATCAGAATTATATTTCCAAACATATGTCCACTTTCAATAACTGATAATAATTAAACACATTTCATTGGCAACTAATCAAATTTATGTGAAATGAGCTGAGTGTAAGTTGTTTATGTTATTAAAAGTGGCTTCACATTTTTGTTGGGGAAGGAGCAACAAATTATAGCTCCCATTTAATAACAACCCGATGTTGGAAATACAACAAATATGCACAACAATTATTTCGACAAAGGAGAAAAGGTGTCAACAGTTATAAGAAATATTACCTCTTCTAATGTCTACTCCACTGCAAATGTAACTTGTGTTATTATAAGAAATATTACCTTTTCTAATGTCTACTCCACTGCAAATGTAACTTGTGTTATTCCCCCAAAAATATCATTTTCAAGTGGTGCTCGAAAATAAGTGCATCTTCAACTTTTGGCATGAACTGTATGCCTTCAGCATGCTTGCAGCAGGTTCTTACATGTCATGAAAGTACTCAGACACTAATGGGGTAAAGTGAAAGTAGGATGGCACGTAATGAGTTGCACAATTTTCTGGTCGTGTGTCAGCAATAGCTCAGACCATTCATATTTCCTTCCAAGCAATAACCCAGACCTGAGTCACCTTGAAGGGGGGTTATGAAATCCTCATCATCATGCCCGCCAGGCCAGGCAGGCTCCCTCGCCTGCCTGCTTTACCTGCCTGCCATTCATGATAATTGGTTACAATGTGGACCTTGTGTTTGATGGGAATGTTGCTAAGTCATTATCGTCTTGAATGGATGAATTCTTGTTAATTTGACTGCTGTGTGCTTGTGTGTGTGTGTGTAGTAGTAGGCAGGCTGAGATATTAAAGGCAGTTAGTTCGTAACATGTGTCTACGTGAAAGATATAGAAAGAAAAACGAATGATTGATATGTACAGTGAGACAGAGAGATTCGAAAAAAGATTAACAACAATACAGTCTATATCACTGTACGAGAGAGAGAGAGAGAGAGAGAGAGAGAGAGAGAGAGAGACAGACGGAGAGACAGAGCCAGACATAAAGGCAGAGACACAGACAGCGAGAGAGAGAGAGAGAGAAAGAAAGTGAGCAAAAGAGAAATGAGCAAGAGACAGTGGGAGATAAAATGATGGACAGAGAGAGAGAGAGAGATAGGAGAAGAGAGGAGAGGGAAAAGGAGGAAAGAAATACAAATGACATACAAAGAGAAAGAAAACAACAGGCACACTGTACATTTTTGTGTTCATATGTTCACTAACATTTTGCGAGCAAAGTAGAATTCTCACACAAAATGACTAAGATGTCGGTAGTACATTTATGTACAGGCCTATAAAATGAAAACATTAATTTTGCTAGGCCCTCTACAATCTCATCAAAAAGATTGTTCACATTTTATTCCCAGGTCAGAATTGCCTATATACAATGTATATTTTTTATGGCTTGCCTGCATTATTCTTGTACTTCTATGCAATGTAAATTATTGATCTGACAGTGAATGGAAGATGGGAAAAAATGAAAAAATTCATTCCCCTTCCCTGATAAGTAAATAATTCCATGAGTGATTTGGATTTTGGGTACTTTGTAAATCCATACTAGGGCCCCCGTTGCACAAAAATTACCATTGATAGTAACTTTACCATAAATGGGAACTACCATGGTAACAGGGCTCAACAGCCAATCAAAATCAAGGTTTCCATGGTAGTTACCATTGATGGCAAAGTTACCATCAATCAATGGTAAGTTTTGTGCAACGGGGCCCAGAAAGGCAAAAACCATAGCCAAAGCAATATCATCAGAAGTGCATATCATTCTTAAAGGGATCCGGTAACTTTGTCTCAGATTCTGAAACAAAATTCTGGATTTAGCTCATGATGCAATGATAATTATAAACCTTTAGGTCAGTCAGGAACCCCATGACTTTTACAAGCCGATCGCCTGTCTGATTATCAAGATATTTATGATTGAAATTACAAATTTTGAAAACCGTTCGCCTGACGGTTTTCATAACATTACAGTCTATTGGGGAAAACGAGTATGGTAAAACCGGTCACTCAAAGATTTTTACTTTTTTGAGGCACTTCTTGATCATTTTGAAGCGCAATTTTTTTAGGGCTTCAATATTACACCATATCACAGACACTGATAACACGTAGGGCCGTGTTTAACATTGTTAAACGATCCCTTTAAGGTCTACTGAACCTACTCAAGTGAACATGCATGTACATGTTAAAGCAGCTGCATCCTGTCTCTATCGACTGTAACCGATTTCCATGGTTACCACAGAGCATTACTGACCAAATGCCTTGACCTCGTAAGTTAGGGGAATTTCAGCAATTAGTCATAAACTATGGATCAGTGGCAACCAGTACAGGATATACAGTGTGTATCCAAAAAAAAAAGTCTACCCAACTTTTTTAGCTTCTTATTAAAAATTTCTAACATATACGTGTGACCTTGAATTATATTTCATGGTAACTAATACCCTATCTAATGATTCCATTTGCATAATTGTGCTGCCACAGATGAAAGAGCAGCAGGCTTTTAAAAAAAATATTGTCAAAAATCCTCTTGTACCAAGTTTTGGCCGAAGCAAAGAATGTGGGTCAAAAGCCATTATGAGTGTTATCTCATTTTTAAAAAAAAGTTGCTCACTTATGTAATATGCACAGTACATGCACTATGAGCCTGAGGCAGTTGAAAAGAAAAGGTTTTAATATCAACTCAAACTCAGGAAAATGCTTCAATTACAGGCAAAGTTTATGAAATTCTCACGGTTATGATGACTAATATTTAGACTTCATTTACATCCCTTTCCTATTGGGTGACACAAAATGGTTAAAAGTTTATTTGGGGTATAATCTTTTTTGATGAAACTGAAAGTCTATTGTCAAGTTCTTTGATACTTATCATGTATTTCTTCTTTATTGCATTTGGGTGTAGTAACCTTTTTTTTCATTCACTATTCAAGATTAACACATCATGCTTCTTACACGGATGAAATGGCGCAGCAGACAAGTGAGCAGAGAGAACTTAGAAGTTAGATATCATGAGACATGAAGTTAATAGGCTGTTCAAAATAATTACAGACAGGTTATCCAATGGATTGCAAAAAGGTTCTGTAAAAGCCTAGACACAATGCATCATGGTAAACAATGAAGCATGAGGCGGAACTTAATTTTTAAAAGGATTTGAGACCAAAGGAGCATGTATGGCCTGACCCACATTCGTTCCGTTAGCCCAAACTTAGTACAAGGTGATTTTGACAAAACTTTTTTAAAACCCTGGTGCTCAGCCACCAGTGTCAGAAATATTATGAATGGGGTAAATCATTGGACAGAAAACAAGTTACTGTTCATCATGAAATAAGACTTCAAAGTAATATAGTTTATGACTTTAATATAAGGACCTTCATGTTGTAGCAAAGTTGGGTATACTTTTCATATATATATATACACTACTGACATGTATACATGTAGTAGCAGTGCTTGATACTACCAACTAGGCCTATGTGTAATCATCAATGATCTGGGATAAAAAGAGAATTACTTATACTAAAATGTACATCAAAGTCTGTATCAATTCCACAATCAGTGTACAAGAACAAGAAGACAAAGAAGAAGAAAAAAAAAGGGTTTTTGTTCAAAAAATTTACTATAGTTTATGTGAGGTTATCTTGCAACAGTTTTTGTAAACAGCTCTTTCATATCCCCCTTATTGTAACCACCATCTCCTAAGCTACAGTACCTGATAGAATTGCAAGCAGGAGATGTCTGTTTGAATGACTGACATGTAGTTATCATTGGCTTCTGAGACTTGGGTCTTATGTCTATTTGTTCAAACTACATACAGACTGAACCTTTAATCTGATGAACTTCGGTCAAAGAACCTTCAAAATAGTTGCCATTATGCCTCAGTCACACCTTTGCGTATTTGGCTTGCGTATTGTTGCGTATTTATGGCAAGCCGTTTTAAAATCAATTCTTGATATCAAGAATTATCGTTGCCATAAATATGCATAAATATGCATAAATATACAAGCCAAATATGCAAAGGTGTGACTGAGGCATTACTGTTAAAGGTTCAAGTTTTATAAAAAAAAGTTTTTAAAAAAATAAGCTTGACCGTTACCTCTCTGTGGACTTCTCTGAGTTGTTGTCCGGAGAATGTGGGGGTGTGGCGTTTTCCTCCCTCTCCTCCTGGACTTTCTTCAGCTTCAGACACAGCTCCTCGACAAGGCCCTCAATTCCACAGTCCTGCACAGGGGAAGAAGAGAACAACAGATTAGTTATGAGGGATATTTCTAAGCCATGTATTAAACAGTACAGATCAATCAAAGGGAAGTGTTTCACAAAGACTAAGATTGACTTTAAGTTGGACTTAACTATGGCAGGTCGTTCATGCCACTGTTTGCTCTTTAGTCTTACCATTTACTGGCATTGGTCTCTGAAGGGTCGTATAAATTATGGTCACAAATCCACAGAATTTACATTTGTTGATATCATTATTGAAGGAAAAAAAATATTATCTAAAGATCAAAATTGAGATACAAATAGTGAGGGCAACCAGTGGCATGAATGGCCTGCCATAGTTGAGTCCAACTAAAAGTTGATCTTAGTCTTTGTGAAACATCCCCTATGAATGGCACGACATCTTGGCTGACCGAGCTTCTACAGGACCAAATGTTCACAAGTCACAAGACAACAGTTTCTGTCTCACAGGCCTTCTCACAATGTATTCTGAGAATTCACAGGACCAAAGGCCCATTACATGTAGATCAAAGTTGTGGTCAAATGTGTCCAAATGCCAACATGACCCATGTTTCTGTCTCACAGGCCTTAGAAAACTGAACATGTATTTTGATGTTGCATAATACCAAACACTGAGAAGGCCTACACATGTACAATGCATGTACAAGACTTGGTTCAGAGGCATTCTGACAGTTATTTCGAAGCTTCACAAGACCACAGGACCATTTGATCAAAGTTTCTGTTTAATGGGAGCCAATATCCACAATATCAAAGTTTTAGCCTCGCAAGCTTTCTAACAACTATTGTACAAGGTGCACAAGATCAAAGGGTCTTTATTAAACCAAAAGCTTGGTCAAGTCACTCAAGTGGACATTCGGTCAACTTGGCTGTAACTATTATGCTCAGCAATTGTAAACATGCGTTGGAGCTGCTGGGACACATTAGGCCTTCTTTCATCAGCCCAAGTTTGCCAAATAACCCGCTATTTTAACTATCCTGATCGCAAATTAACAAGTTGATTTGCGTCTTCATCAGCCCGCAGTTGCAATTAGAGGGATATTTGGTCTAGAAAATATCCCAAGAAATCTTGGTCTTAATTCCCAAATATCCCGCTATTTCGAAAAAAGTGGGCTAACTTGCGCCTGTCCAAGCTACAATGTAGTTTGTGATGAGTCTATCGATCTGGTGAATTTTGAGCTTCGGATAATATCCAGAGTCTGAAAATAGCGGGTTACTTGGCAAACTTGAGCTGATGTACATGAGGACAGGCCTTTTGCTCTCAGCTCCATCCATCCACACAGTACATGAAGATTGCTTAGTTTTTGTGGGGTCAGACTCAGACGAATACAACAGGAAAGAAGGGAATTAGTGGCAACCCCCCCAAAAGGGAAGAAAAATATAGGAATGAGATGAAACCTGTACAGTAAACACTGGAGGGAAATTAGTTGCCACCAAAAAAAGAGAGAGAAAAAACAAAACGTAGATGAAACGTTGGCGGTAGTGAGGTTACAGGAAGGTGCGATTACCAGCGTTAACTATCTGACTATTTCACAACCTCCTGTGCACATGTACAAATGTATCTGACATCTGTTTTTCTGTCCTGTCCCTAATGATAGAAGGTGGAAAGGGAGGCGGGGGGGGGGGGGGGGGGTCAAGATATGTGTACATACAGCAGAGGCACATGTACAAGAATGGTTACAGTATTACAGTATACATGTATGTACAAGTACAATGGTATTACATGTACAGTGTACATAGAGGTAAGGGCCCCCCCCCAATTTTTTTTTTAGAGGAAACAAATAAAAAAAGACAAGAAATAAATGGAAGAGATAACAGTAAAAACATGTACACACACACACACACGTATAGTGTGCATGTATTTATATAAGTTACATATTATAACGCCACTTTTACGTGGGCAATTTTTTTAAAAACTATTGACCGGTAGGCGTAATTATTAATCCAAATGTTGACCAATCAGATGACTAGATTTATTCAACATACTAAACAGAGGTACAGGAAATATTACGTACCAATTTGGTCACTAGCAGTATGATGGCTTTTTATAAAGCACCTAAGGAAAACCACAAGTTATTGTTACAGGTCACAATGTGGCTTTACTAAAGTACCTGTATAGCCCCTTTTTTTTCAAAAGTAGCCCCCTTACAAAAAACAATTAATTACTAGCCTGCATGTACATGTAGGGACTAGGGATATAGATGTACATGTATTTCTGTACAAAATCAAGAGACTTAAGGCCATTTAAAAAAAAGCACGTTTTAAATTGTTTAGCGTCCCCGCCCGCTTCCTTTTTTGAAGCCGCCTGCTTTTTTCTTTTCTTTTCTTTACAAATTTATTTATTATTTATATTATTTTTCTATTGTTTTAAAGAAATTACATGAAAAACATACTTCTATAATGATTTTTTTTTCTGAATTAAAAAACCCCAAAACAACGTACATGTAAATGCTGGACGTCATCTTGAAAAATAGCCCAACTACCAGGGAAAATGTACCGATCAGCCATTTTGAAGGAAAAGAGAAAGAAAAAAAAAGGGCGTCCTCCTTCCTATTTTTCAAAAAGGAAGGATGCTAAACACTTTTTTGTTTGTTAATGGCCTGATGTAAATGACAATAAACTTTTCCATCTAAATGTACATACATGTAATAGTTGATAGATTTATGTACATTGATGTACGTGCTGGCTTCATGTGACACTACATGTGTTGGCCTCCATGTAGAGCTTATATGTACTATTAGTTTGGAAGTGGAAGGCTGCGAGTAGAAAAGGATGTTCCACGTGTAATTCTATGAGTCACTGGCCATGGACACAATGCATAGATAGCCTTCATCCCACACAACCGCTTCCAAACAAAACTTTTTTGTTTTGAAAGTACCCCATATTTATTCAGGGCTAAAACTGCCAAACAACTGCCAGCTTCTAAAGATATTCTCTACATGTTTATTCAGGGTTAGAAGGAAAAAAAAGTTGTCTCTGTGATTGAAGTCTATGGAAAGTAGAGAATTCAGTGGTCAACGGGGTAAAATTATAACCCCCCCCCCCCCTGCTCCATCAGTTGAGAGCTGTAGAGTCTACTATAAAACAAAACAAATGCAGTCAAATAAAAAAAGTAATCTAGTATTAAATGTTTTAAAAATTAGATGTAAAACAGAGGTACATGTACATGTACATGTACACATACAGGTATCTGTTCAACACAACACAAAAAATGAATGACAAATGAAATTCAATTTTTGAAATAAAGGTTCATGTACCTGTACATTGCCACACTACCAGAAAGTCTATAGATGCAATTATCCAAGGCCAAATAAAATAAAAAACTGTTTGAAAAATAGGGAGGCCCTTTTTTTTCTCAAAATTTTTATATTTTTCAAATCAGAAATAAATTATTATAGCAGTGTATTTCTCAAGTTTTTTTTCTTTAAACAAATTATTTTTAAAAAAATCAATGTACTGGTAATTTTTTTTTTTTTTTTTTTAGAAGGCGGCCCCCAAAAAGGAAGCGGGCGGGGACGCTAAAGCGGGTAAACATGAATATTTTTTTCCAACGGCCTAAATGAATATGCTTCCAAAGTGCCTAAAGTCCTTGCTGTAAGACTACCGGGTATACAGAATCATGCTACATCTACATGTACCGGTCGGTACATGTAAGGTCAAACATGAGTCGGCATTTTAGTTACTACAACATGGACCAAACACAAAGTCTACCTATCCTGTATGATGAACTAAAAATAGGCCCAAGGAAATATGTGGACATGTACATGTGCATGTACATACAGTATGTACATGTACATGTACATGTCTACATACTACCTGATGAATACATGCATGTGTCAAAGACCAAAATTATGATTAGTAAGAAAGAATGAAAAATAACACTTAATGGAAAATCATACAAAAATTACATATAAATATGTAAATAACAATAAAGAATAAAGCATTAACAGGGGAAAAAACGTTACACAATCGTTTGCCAATCAGTGTCAGGAGTTTTAGGATGTAGGTACACACTGAACATACATGTACATACATGTACATGTATGTACAGTAGGTACAGTACATTTCTTTTGTATTCAGAGTTATTTTTTATTTTGTAATTAAAGAATGAAAGCCTCATTATTTACCAAAGAGATACCAGCACTTTTTGTTATTACTAGAAACCAGATTATCGATTTGATCTTTAACAAATATAGATTATATAAATAGATTGTTAGACAGATAGATCAGATAGGTAGATAGATAAACATTAAATAAATAATAAATAAATAAAAACACATAACCAATACTGTGTCAGCTTGTTGTGTACACTGTACAAGTACATGTATGTTACACTGTAGCTAGAAGTTCTACAATCCTACAATATTTAAATATACAATAAATAAATAGACAGTTGATTTTGGCAGCTCATAATATTGACCATGAATGTCTATAGATGTGAACATCATCTAAAAAGTATCCATTGTTTGTTGATAACAAAGAGAAAGACCAAGGCCAGATTCTGTGAAAAACTGTTTTGTTCAACCTTTATTCCCTATTTCCCTATATCCTTTATGTCTGTTGCTGTCAATCTGTCACAATGAAATGTGTGCTCTGTCATTCGTGCATGCAGTATTTTTATTTAATTTTGTATGTATTATGTAGGAAGTGAAAAAGAAGCAAATAGTGACTCTATTTCCTATTTCCTTATATCCTTTGTGTCCAGCGCTCAAAATACACGGGGCGGTGGGCGATTCGCCCCCGTGAGCTCCATAATCGCCCCCGTCAGGTTGCTCACGGGGGGCGATTGCAAATTAAAAATCGCCCCCGTGGAATTAAAAAATTAAGATTTTCTTTTCTGATATAACTTTAACACAATATTGAGTATTAATTTTCAAACCTTAAACCAATGAAATGGAACTTAGATGGCGCTTTCTCTACCATCTCTACGAGTATTCCCGATACAAACAACGGAAGCTCGCGGTGCGGCCGTTAGCACAGTGGCTATA